ACGTGAAATTAGAGATTGTACTTGGGTAAACATTTTTATTAATAAATTACCCGGATAGCAGGGTATTTTAATAATACCTAGGGGTAGAAAATTTCTTGACGGGTACAATCTCTACAGAAATAATTAAACTATTATTGACTCGATATTTAATAGGTCGGCTTTATCAAGTCGAATATGCCATGGAAGCAATATCCCATGCTGGTACCGCGTTGGGTATCCTGGCATCAGATGGCATTGTGATAGCTGCCGAAAAGAAAGTGACTTCTAAATTACTTGAACAAACCACCACAAGTGAAAAAATTTATTTATTAAACGAGTATAAATTCTTAACCTCTCATTACGGTTCGTTTAATTAAATTTGCACCGTTATCTGAAGGCTAATTGACATTGATTTGAATGATTTTGAAATTCGATCACAGTAACGTTATTTGTGGTGTCGCGGGAATCACAGCCGATGCCAATTACCTTATAAACTACTCTCGTCGATCTGCTCAAGAGTATTTATATACTTATGGAGAAGACATTCCTGTTGAACAGTTGGTACAAAGATTGTGTGATTTAAAACAAGGATATACACAATACGGAGGTAATAACAAAATATCATTAAAACTTTTTGTAAAACTTAAAGAAATAGAATATAGAAACAATATAATTACAAGTTCTCTTTTAAAGGTCTTCGTCCCTTTGGGGTTTCATTTATTTATGCCGGACATGATAGTCACTATGGTTTTCAACTTTATCATTCTGATCCATCCGGAAATTACGGTGGATGGAAAGCAACTTGTATTGGTGCAAACAACGCGTCAGCCCAATCATTGCTAAAACAAGATTATAAGGATGAAATTACTCTTAAAGAAGCAAGAGAATTGGCGGCGAAAGTTTTAAGCAAAACTATGGATTCTACCACGTTGAGTAGTGAAAAATGTAAGTTATTGTTCCAAAGCATATATTAATTTATTTCTAAAGGACAAATTCGAATTTTAAGATTTTGCTCATTTGATCTATAGTGGAATTTGCGACAATCAGTCTTAATGAAGAAGGAAAAGTTTCATATCATCTTTACAAACCAGATGAAATTGACTCTTTATTGAGAGAACATAATTTAGGAGGCACGCAAGATACGGAAGAAAGACCAACAACTACTTAGATATAAAAACTAGCACCAGACGTGTAACTACGTGCCACATGTTCAATAATAAAAGATAATACTATGATACATTCACTTAAATTATTACAAGAACTCAGAGTAATGCAATAAAATATATTTTATGATATAAAATTATCATGATTGATGATTATGCAGTCTTTACATTCAATTTTCCGGTTACTACATAGATCATATTTTCATCCAGATAATTAAATTAAATACATTTAAAGAATTAACGCTTTCTCTACGCGAATATTACTATTATATAACGGTAAAGAAGGAGAGCATAATTAAACGCTTTCACTTTAATATTGAATTTATTGTAGAATGCCGCAAAAAGATAATTCATTCATCCTTGGTTCATCCTCTTGATTTTATTTGCATACCTAATTTAGATTAATATAATAAAATAAACGTTAATAAATATGAGATTAAAAAAATAAATAAGTGTAGATTATTCCATAAAGAAACTATCAGTAAAAAATTAGAGCTTTAATTTTAAGATCATCGAACGGACGGACTCATTATTAAATTTCATCAGGTAGTTCTCTTAAACGAATTCTAACTCTTTGATCGTATAACATATAAAATAATCACCTCAAAGTGAACGAACTGTTTTTGAATTAGTAATGAACAAAGGCAGTGTCCGATAAGTTTTTACTCACTCAATAGTTTTCAAGTTTTTGTGCTATATACTCATGCTCCCGTAAAGCGTCTTGAAAATGAGAATTGTTATCGACACAGTAATACGTCTGGCCATACCTAGGTTCCTAGCCATCAAACAATTCAAGATCAGGTGTAACATAAAAAATACACCCAAACCCTAACGCTGGTAGAGATTTTTTTTTGACTGTTGATGCGGGGTCCCGTAACAAATCAACCTAAATGTAATTTTTGAACTTTAAATGAAGATATCTAGAAGACTATCTATTCAGCATTAATAAAAAATTTTTATTGTTATACAGTCATATAGATCGAAATAAAAAAAAAATTAAAAATTTCATCGATTTTTGACTAGTGGTTGGGGATACTTTCGCTCAAAATTTAAAAAATTGCGAATTGACTTTAGTTTTTTTTTTACGATACTAATAAAAATTTTTTTTATAAATTGGGATTTATTCTTTGTTTTTGTTATAACGATAAGTCGTTTGCAGAAGTTATTATCATTCTAAAATCGTCATTTGTTTATTGTTTGTTAAAGATGATTTGGATTCATATATTTCGGTATATTTTTATTTTTATTTTTAAATAATTCTGCTAGTTTTTATTTTTTTTTTCTTTACTTGCTTTATTCAAGAAAAACTAAAACAATACATAAGCATGTACTAATTCTAGTTGGTAACATCGTTACCAAAAGAAAATTCATCTAATTTTATCTTGTAGTTGCCATGGCTTTTACTTGCGGTCAGGGCAAATTCTTAAACCACTATATATTTATCTGCTTATATAGCAATACAGAATACCACCAATCTGATGACATTTGTTTATAGAAAAGGAAAAAAGAAAAAAGATAGAAAAGTAAATATTGAAAAATGAAGTATAATGTAAGACAAATACAATATACTGTATTTAAAAAAAAACAGGCATTAATTTTAAAAGAAATTTAAAATTTGAACTAAAAATCTATAAGAACCTATTACTAAAAAAAAAAACTTACTATATTAATTAATATATATTAGTATATCTGTGCTTTTTGGGTATCTATTTAAGTAATCTGCTTATTATTAGATTTTATATTAGATATCATATCTATAACCTATCTATTTAAACTTTTTGCATCTATATACTTTGAGGCCTATATTAATTAATATTCTTTGTTTCTAGTTTGTATAACTAGTTTTCTTTTTTTTTTTTTTTGATGTTAAGGTAACTTCTTTGTTATGATTTTTTATTTGATTATAGTTTAACTTTTACAGTATAATATACTCATACTGTATACATATTTGGAAAGTACAACTAGCTACATATGCAACTTTTAGTTGCCTATTGAAGTAGTCTGCTTATTATTAAGTTCTACACTAGATATCATACCTATAACCCAACTAAAGGGTTATTTATTTAAATCTTTTGTGCCTATGTATATTACCCTATAACTAAGCAAGAGTATTTTTTTATTTTTAGATACTGACTTAAGACTATTTTATTCTTGAAATAAGCCTACTAGAACCTTTCATACTTACAATTTGGCTAATATCCTTTCAAGACAACTCAATAGCTTTTCTTTTTAGTACTTTCTAGCCAATCTTTCTAGACTACCAATCCAGATAGTCCAAAAAAAACACTAGTTTCTTAGTATCTATATTGCAGATTCTTTTTCTCTAATGTTCTGATGGCCTGATTAATAAAGTACTTCTTTTTGAATACCTAGTCTTCATCTAGTTGTATCAGCCTCTATTCCAATAGTATTATTGAAAGTTTTTACTATTTCTTTATTCAAGACTTGCCAAGCAAGCATCCTATCATCATATTGGCTCTGTCAGTTTTCTGCTACCTCTAAGGACTTATCTTGGGTTTGCACTGACTAAACCAGTTTACATACCTTTGTATAACTTCTTTATTATATAAATGTCTAGAAATCTTCTAATTCTAATATAACTATTACTTGATATAACTATAGTTACAAAGTCTTAAGTTTTCTCAGCCATGATAATAGTTGTCAAATTTGTTTTTTCCAAATTCAATTTTTCACTTTCTGTGAAAATTAAACTTGTACTTGACCGCTTGGAGGTGTAACAACTTAACTACTTTACTAAATCGTTACACCTTTATATAACCAGTTTTCTAAATTTTTATTTTATATAATAATTTAGAATTTTAAAACAGGTTGCTGTTTTTTTTTTATTCTTGATATAAACCTAGCAGAATCTACAATATTTTTATAGGACCCTGAAGAACTCTGATCTAACTCAAAGGTTACTAAAAAAAAAAATTTGTATAGAAATTCATCAAACATTATATTTTTATATAGTAAATTTTTAATTTTTAGCCTATTTTATATGCATTTTTAGTGGATCAAATATATATTCTTTCCGTTGATCTTCAATTTTAACAAAATTTCTAGTCAACTAAAACTAAAACAACACTTTTCTGCAAAATTAATATAGGAAACAAGGTTTCTTGTATTAAGAAAAAGGGAAGAGTGCTTAAAAAAACTCTTAGTTTATTAGAATAGCCTTTGACAAAACTTTAAGACTAGCAACAAAATTTAGACTTTTGAAAATTTTTAGAAAATTTTTGGAGTTTTTAGAAAATTTATTTGATCATGAAAAATCTGATCTTAGAGGCATGTAAAAGCAACAACAAAACAAACTCGTAAGATCAGTAAACAAACAAACAAACAAATATTAGATTGTGTTCTACTTTTACTGTAGATACAACAAAAACAACAAATCAACAAACAATTCACATGACTTTCAACAGAAACAACAACAAATCAATACAACCAACATAGAAGTAGATTGTTTTTGAACATTTATTATAGTAAACATAGATTTTACAACAACAGATCAAAAACTTAGCTTAGTTAAAGGAAAGAATTAGGCTTAAACTTAGTTATTTTTAAAATGACAACCTTAGAAAAAATTAAGGGTGTCTTTGCATTGCCAATAGAAGTAAGGCAAGAATTATGTAATGCACAAAAGAGATTTGTTCTCCAAACAGATAGAAGTGTAGCAAAATTTTTAGAATTAGAGGACCCAGAATTTGTATCATTCATGTGCATAGTGCTAGAAAACTACAAAACAGCTTTTTAAAAATACTTAAGAGAAAATAGATTGAATGCTGAAGATCGAGAACTAATTAGAGTAGATTCAAAAAACAAGACAATCAACTTTGAAAAATATGCTGAAAAAAGAATTCAAGAAGAAAAGAAATGTATAACACTTGTACCAAAAGTTAAAAAAAAGAAATCTCCTTTAATGCAAAACAGAATGATAATAGAAGAACCTACAGCTCAATTAATCATTCATGAAGCAACACATAAAAAAAAATATGTGGTGATAAAAGATACTAAGAGAAAGAGTATAGAGAAACCTGAACCTAAATGACAAAACAATAGTATTGATAAAATAGCAGAAGCAATCTTAAATGAGTTAGAAAAAGAGATTCTAGAAAGCTCAGATGATGAGAGAATAGAAGATAAAATAATTTTGTATATGCAGAATATGAAACTCATGATGAAGGTACTAAAGAAACAAAAAACTTGGTATTATTAAGACACAGCAAAAGGCAGTAGAGGCTCCACCCAAAAAAGAGAAGAAAAAGAAATATAATATTGCACTTGAGGATATACATGGATCTAGATAGGCACCAAAAGATATTAATAAATCTATCTGGGCCCCAGAAAATAGATCCAAAGAAGAATTACTAAAGGAAGAAACACCACTAAAAGAAGAAATATCTAAAAAACTGACAAAAGAAAAAACAACCCAAAATCTTAAACCAGAATACAAATTAACACTATGGGATCTACCAGTAGAGATATGAGCTAGTAGAGTAAGAAGAAGCCTTAATTTTTATGGTAGAGCAAAG